AATTATGGGTTTTGTATTTTATTTTAATAGAAGTTGATGTTGCTTTTGCAATTATCCATCAATTTTTTAAAATTAAACACTATCTACAGATTTGCATCGAAGCGTTTCTTATGATAGTGATTTTAATCACTGTCAGATTAAATCTAGACTGAACCCAACTATGCAATGTCTCCACTATGCCGCGACCCCACTGTGCTACCGTTTTTTTATTAATATTTTACACTACAGTTAAAAAATTCATTTCATAATAGGAAATGAAAAAAAAATTATATTTTGATGAAGACGAACTTTATGTTTATCATATTCAGCTGGATGGCGGTTCAAATGTCAATAAATTATTTATAACAAATAAACGAGTAGCTATTGTAACAAATAATATTTTTGGTTTCTATAAAGTATTATTTTTCTAGTTATAATCATTTATACTTTATTAAATATAGTCATCTTTAGTTAAAATGGTCATGCTTTTGGCACGAACTGATGGAATGTCCTATACCCTTGTCAAATGGTATTTTATTTCATGTGAAAACAAAAACAATAGGATTGATAAGTAATAAAAATTGGAGAAAGACGGAAAAATTAATTCCATTTTCAAATGAAGATTTTATTCAGGTACTAATATTAAATATTAACATAAAATTAACGATAAAATATTTTTATAGGACAAGGCTTATACAATATCTATTGCCCGCTAATATAAACCATATAGTTTTTATTTGAACTTATATACAATTAATTGTAAGTTGTATAACAACTAAAAATTTTTTAAGTCGATCAAAAAAAGAAGAATTATCGTGTATTCTAAGCTTATAAAGTTATATAGTTCAGCAGGCACGTAGCTACTAGCTTGAGGTAAAATTTAATTTCACAGAAGTTTGAACGATTTTAAAAAAATGTCAAGGACTGACCAGACCTCATTTCTCTGAATATTGTTTGATTAAAATACATAATTTTAAGCTTCGATTCAAAGTTGAGCACGTATTAATTTTACTATGTGTTTTTTTTTGTGAATGCAAAATAAGCTATAAGATCTAACTACCGAACGTCGGTAGTACGCCGACGTAGACACAAAAATATTACGAAAATTAACTAATACTTTTTAACGACGAGTTCGTCGTTAAAAGGCTCTTCTCAAGTCCTCCCGTCGGATACTCTAGTCAGCCCCAATCCCTTCAATTACTGAACCTCTATAGGAGTAGTTTTTAGACCAGTCAGCACGGTTTAACTCAAAAGTAGCAGACTGAAGGGTGGCTCCTCATCAGCCACCAACACAACTACCTTTTCACTATTACCACTAAAGGACGATTAATACCAAAACCTAGCCAGCACGCACACTAATTTTTAAAATCGACTAAAGGACCGGCAATGCTTGACTCATGCACACACGCAATTTTAATAGCATAATAGATATAAAGTATTTACACTAAGTATCAGTTTTTGAATATTAATCTTTTATTTACCAAACAAAATAAACACAAAATCAAAATGTAAAAACCCAGTACAGTTGGGTGGCGGCACAGTGGGTTCGTGGCATAGTTGAGTCCAGTAAAGATGATATCTGACAGTGATTAAAATCACTATCATAAAAAACGCTTCGATTCAAATCTGTAGATAGTTTTAATTTTAAAAAAAAGTTTGTCAAAAAAGTAGGTCAAGTGAGAGCTGAGAAAATAAATGATAGCTACAAAAAAAAAACCACATAGTAAAATAATATTAATATGAATTTCTTCTCACGAGAGGAGACTACAGTAATGGAATCCTTGATATTTATTGAAGTTATTGAATCTAAATGAGATAAAAATCAAATGAGTTAAAATACAAAACCCAGAATTTTAATAGAAAAATAGCATATTTTTGAATAGGGTAGCTATTTGCGCATAGAAGATAGGTCGTCGGCACAATTTTTTTTTTTCATTTTATAGAACATAAAATAAGTTTTAATTTGATATATGTTTAAAGGACGCAGTATTTCCGGAACATCTTCAAAAATTAAGTTGAAAAAATTAATTTTTGTAAAAAAGTTGCCATTTTAAATCCCCCCCAATGAGCAGGTTAAGTGGTAGATTTTCAAAAAAATGATATCAAACGAAAGGGAAATATCTAAGGTTTTAGTATAAAAAAAAATTATGTTTATTTGTTGATTTTTGAAAAAGTTATGGCAGTTTTAAGAAAAAAAAGTGAGAAAAATAACAATATTTACCGATTTTTAAATTTCTAATTTTTTTGGAGGTTTCCCCCATTTACTGAGAACGAGGAAAAATTTTTCAATTTTTGAGGGTAATTTCTTCAACTAGATACGATTTGTGATCTTTTGACGTATTGTTGAAAGAAATCGGTCCAGTGAGAGCTGAAAAAAAGTGGCAACAGACAAAAAAAAAAAAACACATCATGGTAAAATTAATACCTTCTCAGCTTCGCATCGAAGCTAATATAACAATGTAACACAAAATAAATTAGGCCATTCAAAATACAAAGTTTCACATACCAAACGTCCTGACTCGTAACTAGACGTTTCTTAGTCAAAACGCCAATCCCCTTTCACTTTTCTCGTTTCCCTTTATATATTCTTTTTTCTACCATTGTTAATTTGCTTATCCCGCATATTCCTTTTATATGACATTATTATATTGCTCAAGAATTAAAAAATTGCTTACTATTAATACTATTAACTAGTGCGTGAGTATAAGGAGCTTAAACTGCTTTGTTTCTAAAAATATTTAAATAATTATGTTATTTTTAATTTTTTTTACTTCATGCCCCCCTCGTTTGATAATACCGTGCTATATGCATGGAATTGTCAAACTCGAAAATTTAATTTAATTTTAACTTCAAAATAGTTAATTAAATTGTCTGTTAAAAAATATTTTAAACATTAATTCTACGGTATGTATGAATTATCAGAACGCACAATAGTACCCAACTCTCCCTTATTACTTTAGTTCATAATATCATCATGAATTTCTCATTTTTATAGATTTATATATCCTAAGAAATTTAAAAAATGTTGAACTTATACTTATATCTGTATTTTAGAAGTTAGCTTATGAGATTAAAATTCTAATGGAAAAACAATCACATCAATTCACGGAAACATGTTATAATTGGAAGATATGATTACTTTATAAAGTACAGGCTATATATTTAATATTAAATCATTTCTTGTAATAACATTAAAATAATCAAATTTTATTAAGATTTATACTGTTACACGTTTATATGAGTTAAGTATTCAGAACGATTTTTAGAGAGGCATCACAATATGTTGGGTTGGATTTATATAATATTTAAAAAATAATGTGGGAAATAAACACTGGAAACCCCTATAAATATGACCACGACACAGAGTGGCTAACTCCAAATATTTATAAGAGATATTGAAAAAATAAAAGATTAGAACTCCAATTTTTGTGTTTAAAAATTAGTGTATCTTACAAAAACCAAATTTTCCAGAAATTAAAAAAAAAAACAATGTGTGTCCATTGCCATATGTTGACTGTCAATGAACAAGAGTTTTACGTCTCATGTCTAAAATTAAAATAACTTATGATAATTACACATTTTGGGCCGTTATAAATGTATAATTAATGTTGATAGGTGATTTTGATTTTTAGAATGTCTAGTAAGGATTATTCTACGACCTGTGGGGAAGGGAAGGACGGGCGGCTATTATCCTTCGCTTTTAACGTCGTGCCGGTAATCCCTTTACCGATGTTGAGGGAAGGGATGGTCTCCTTCGCACCTCGTCCGGCGGTCACTATAGAACCGGCACAACAGACAGTGGACCGACAGCGATAAACCGCTACTAAACGAGCATTCGCCCCCTCTATCATTGACTAGGGAGTGAATGAAGAGGCGAGTTCGGCTACCTGAATAACACCGATGCACCCCGGCTACAAAAAACTTACTCCCTCAAACATACGTCAGAGAGAATAAATTAATTGGGCCTTCAAGGAGAAGAAGGACCATCAAAGGGAAGCGGCCAACCGTCAACCGATCGTTACAACTGTTACCACTTACGACTTTTTTTTTATGTTTGTAATTTGATTACAAGTTCGGCCTGGTCAAGAACCCAACTGACCAGTCCTAAGGTCAGTAGGATAGGTGAGGGTGAGTTGACACAGCACCGCGCCGTGCTCTAGGCTGACGCTCACTTGTGTCTCTCTCGATATCAGCCATCCACCTTTATTTGGAAATCTTAGCTGGTCGTCAGACTCGCCGAAATCGTCGTAAACCATCTCATCAAGTACAATGAAAAATTGGAGGCCTGTAATAAACAAAAAGAAGTAAAAATGATATGGTAGCAAAGGGATATTGTTAGGTGTGAAAAGAAAGAAATGTAACACAGGTGGCCAATGAGGAAATAATAATCGTAGCGGGTGTAGTGTAAAAAGGATGGACAGCAATGGAAAGTAAAAGTGGCTATAGATACCGGGCAGTGACTACAATAAAATGAATTAGAAAGGGATCTCGGGGTATATATGCTCGCGTAAAGACATCTATTATGTGAATGAGATGGAATTACAAAGAAGGGTCACTACCTAGCTCCTGCACAGAAACACGTACACTAATTTCTGGCGAGTCACAAATATCGTATTTTTATAAAAATATTTTAGTTTATTCTCAATGACCTATCTTGTTCTAATTGTTTATTACTAAAAATTCTTCAGTAAAGGATCTATTATAGACTTATTATATAAACAAATGTTTCACTTACCTCTGACTATCCTGATGAGGCAGATATTCTCTTGAGATGTATGATGTAGTTGATGTAGCAATTATCGATGTATACGTATACGCATGTATGTGCGCAATTATATTTATACGGTCTATGTTATTATTAACTCGCGTATAACTACTTTTCTAGTACAATTCTATATCAAATCTACCCAAGGTGGAATCTAAGTTTATTATAACTGTTTTTTTTGTAAAACCCTTTTGTATATTTATGTAGTATAGACCTTGTATGTGGTGTTTTACCTTAATATATTTATTATTTAATAATTTATAAAACAAATAAATAAATTCTAAACAACATAACTGTCCTGTGCAACAAACTATTTCCAAGTGGCCTACGTCTTTTCAGTCGTCCAAAGAGTGATCTAGGGTAGATGCAAGCTCAATTTAGGTTCTTTGCACAATAGATTACACTAGTGTCCTACACTCCGATTGCCCGCACTGTGGTAGAGATCAGACTGGCTGGTCGATAAATGGAGAGACACTTTGAAGAAATCTTATGATTAACTAAAATTCTAATTATGATATTATTGTACTAATACCCTGTCCAGCCAGGTTGTGGCCCTTCAATAAGTAATAGATACAATTCAATCAAATTAAGTACCTTAAAATATCTAATGTGTATTACAAAATAATATTAATAAGTAATGCGTTATAAATTATATAAGTGTCCCACACTCCGATTGCCCGCACTGTGGCAGAGATCAGACTAGCTAGTCGATAAGTGGAGAGACACTTTAGAGAATGATTATAATTAGTTGGAGTATTAACTATGATATTATTGTGCTAGTACTCTGTCCAGCCAGGATGTTGCGCTTCAATAAGTAATAGAACACAATGCAATCTAGTTGTGTAACCTTTTAGTATGCTTATATATATATATAAATGTAGATAAAAAGAAATAAATAAACACCAATATTTTATATGTGTTAGAATATTTATGTCACCAAAAGTATTCGACCGAAAATAAGATGTATAATATTTTCAGTAATTACGAAAAAGGGTAAGAATAGTGCAGATTTTATATAGAATTGTAATTAAGAATGAAACATAAACTCACGCACATTCACTTTTTGTATCTTGGTTGAGAATTCCAGAGAGCCGTAGAGATGGAGAGATAGAATGGCAAGGCGTCCCAGTGTACGCTAGAGGGATGTTCAGAAATCGTACATAACCACCGTAAGAGAACCGAAGCCTTAAAGGAACCGCCGTAAGAGAACCACCCGAATTTGGGGGAAAATGGCCTTTTTATAGCCCGCAAAACTGGTTTAGCGATCTCTGGTGAGATTCTTGAAATATTTTTTGCTGTATTTGATTGGTTAATGTGATAGAATCTTTTACGTGGGCGTTTTATGGAATGCGTAAGAGGGTGATTAAATCTTGTGTAAGGGTATTATTTTATTATTCATCTAATCCACGGGGAAACACTGATTTGGTGATATATTTTATTAAATATAAATAATAATTATTACATGTATTAAAATGTGATACTACTGGCCTCATACCATATACCGCAATCGGAAGTATCGCCCGAGGACCGTACCTTCAAAATACAATCTAGGGCATTGCTATCCGATACGGACATTGGGTATATTGTCGATGAAGATTTTGATGTTACGTTTGCCGAGAAAAACACGTACTCGCGTTACTCTATCGCATATTGACGGCCTATAATCAGCGTACCTAAGTATACGCCCTTCACCGGCTCATTATATATTCCAATACCTCGCTAAATGAATCATAAAAAAAACCTAGCACAGGGGGGTCGCGGCACAGTGGTAACGTAGCATAGTTGGATCAAGTATAATGATATCTGACAGTGATTAAAATCACTATCATAAAAAACACTTCAATGCAAATCTTTGGATAGTGTTTAATTCTAAAAAATTGGTGGATTATTCCAAAAGCTACATGATCTGCTAGTTCCTAATTAATATCCTGATTGAGATAAAGTAAGTCGAATAAAAGAGGGATTATTAAAAAATATTGTTTCTCATAAAAAAATTTTATTGTTCCATATACTTTTCAATAAGTTATAGCATTATTAAGTTAAAAATGTAAAATATAAAACTGTCATTTTAAATCCCCCTTTGTGGCCAGGTAAAGGGTCAGATTTATAAAAAAAAATATACCAAATGAAAGGTAATGATATCTAAAAAAAAAAAATTGTATTGATTTGGTCATTTTAAAAAAGTTGTGGCGATTTTAAGAAAAAAAAAAAATTTCGAAAATTAGCGATTTTTAAATTTGTAATATTTTTGGATGTTTCCCCCATTTACGGGGAACAATGAAATTTTTTTCAATTTTTGAGGGTAATATCTACGACTAGATACGATTTGTGATCTTTTGACGTATTATTGAAAGAAATCGGTTTGGTGAGAGCTGAGAAAAAGTGGTAACAGACACAAAAAATAAAACACATCATAGTAAAACCAATAACTTCTCAGCTTCGCATTGAAGCTAAAAAGCGATAATGAACCCACAAATTATCGATACGGCATTCCACGATTTCCGGCGATATACCGGAGGTTTGGGGATTGCGAAGAGGTCGCCAGGTATTTGTGACGGCTGTAAATGAAGTGATGCGCAACATTTTAGAAATGTTACGTAAAATGAACATTCCCATCCGAATTTTCAAGATGTACACAGGCACGAGGAAAAAGTGGTATGCGACTTGTGCCGCACGACATTCAAGGATTCCAAGCTTAAAGTTGCAAACCATTGCCACTTCGGGCCGATTCAGACAGATGTCATGGAATGTGAGTAACATGACAGTGAAGACGATTAACTTTGTACGATGCTTCTTGCACAACCTTTTAGGTTACGACGCCCATTTCATCGTCACTGAATTAGGGTACGACGACCAAAGGATTTCGGTCATACCAAATTCGGAGGAGAAGTATATTTCGGTTACGAAACACTTGACTAATAACTTCTCCATATGGTTCGTCAAAACCTTTTGTTTCATGGCCTTTTCACTGTCACCTTGGCCGGTAATCTAATGACGTCCGATTTCGTTAAATTCCGGGAAACAGCCTAGATGTTCTCAGCTTCGCATCGAAGCTAAAAGTAGTTGTATATTTCTGAACTTTTAACGCGTATAAAAATTTAAAGGACTTGATGCAATATTTTTCAATATAGAGTAAAAATATTATTAAATTAAAGTAAAATGATCTAATTTTATAATTGAAACTTTTAATAAGTAATTTCGAACTTGATTCGTCAATAAATACTTGGAAAACATAATAAATGAATGATTTTAATTGTCTGTAAGGAGAACACAGGATAAGTAACTCTTTAATTGATAAATTAAAATTTTTTTTCAATTTTTGAGGGTAATATTTTCTACTAGAAACGAATTGTAATCATTTGATGTATCGTTGAAAAAAGTAGGTCAAGTTAGAGCAGATGAAATAAAGAAAAAACACCCTCTCAGCTTTGCATAGAAGATAAAACCTTAAATATAGCAAAATAATTTTAATATGAATAAGAAATTTCTTTTTAAAATTTGATAAAAATCAAATGAGTTGAAAATTTAAAAAGAATTAAGAAAAAGTTCATTGCCATACGACGGCTGGAACCTTGTACCTT